TACTCTAAATATTTTTTTTCCGTATACTACTATATTTCGATTTTTTTTTTTTTTTTTTTTTTTTTTTTTTGTGCTGGGGCTGCCCGGAACCCTGCCCGGGGGTCATGCCGGCCGGGCACCCGGGCGTGTACCCGGGCAGGACTCAGAAGACTCAGAACTCATTGCGACTGACTCTAACCGAAGTTGCCACAAGTAGAACGACATCATTCTTACTGTTTGTAGATCAGTCAGGACTCAGAAGACTCAGAACTGACTTCCGACACACACACTCAGGGACTCAGAACGGTCTCGAATTGAGATGCCCTCTGAACAGCACCATTCTAACTGTTTCAGATCAGTCAGACTGCCTTCTGACACAGTCAGAGACTAAGAAATGGTGGTGAATTGACACTCCCTCGTCATGACACCATTCAGCTCACAGTTAAGTACATATGGATGAGGCTTTCTAGGACTTGCTGCAGGAGAAAGAGGAGGAGGAATGGCAATAAAGAGGTGAAAAACTGAAGGGTAAGAGCAATGGCAAGGGCAAGGGTGAACAGTGCCACTGGACAAAAATGGCTGGCGGCACCAGCAGAAAGCAAAACAAAAACGCCACGCTGGCGTTTCGGAAAAGCTTGGTGCGCAGGGGGAATCCACCTTGGCAAAAAGATGCTCCAATGCACTGGTGATTTAAAACCACGGCCTCTCCCGTACCTATTTTCACGAACCTGTTGGTTACCCGACCCTGGAGAAGCTAAAAGCTTTGGGCCTATCCAATCACAGCACAAGGGCAAAGATATGCATTATTTCCCCCACCGGGATTTCCTTTTGCCAAACAGAGACCTTTTTCTTAATTTTTTAAATATCTTTCCCTATGTTACAATCCTGGTCATTCCCAAAGTGCAAATTCACAATGAAAGACAATGCCACCCAATTGCGAAAGAAATGAAAGCACTTGCAAAGAGATAGAGACCTCTTATACACATCTAGATGTGTATAAGAGACAGAGGTAGTGGCAGCTAGCGCTGCCATAGCTGTAGCCTAGCATGTGTGTGTG